GTTCCATAGGTCATTACTGGCAACACGCACTGGTTGTACAATCTAGTTTTCAGATATGCCTGATGAGAAGATGTATCGTAATCTCCCGAACGTATTTACGTATAACGATATTTGTTAATGAGATAAGTTAATTCGTTTTTCTTATTTTTTAATGCCAAAAGCCTGAAACATCAAACGAGTACTTGGGGATCAAAAATTTACGTTCGAGGAATTTTCCACACTTTTGGCACAGATTGAAGGATGTCTCAAATCTTGCCCCCAGGTGGCTTTATCAGAGAATATTGAAAACCTTGAGTACTTGACACCGGCTCACTTCCTGATCGGTGAGCCTTCTCTTGAACCACCACTATCCGCTGAGGGTAATGACATGACCTTTACTACAAGATAGCAACTTACGGAGAAAATGTATAAGGACTTCTGGAGAAAGTGGTCTACTGACTATGTCCAAACTCTACAAACTCGAAGCAAATGGCACTTTCCTACAAAAAACTTAGAAGATGAGGACGTCGTCATTGTCAGAGAAGACAACAAGATCCTGGGACGGGTATTGGAAACTCACCCAGGTGCGGACGGCCTGGTACGAGTCGTCACACTGAAACCTAAAACAAGTCATATGAATCGACCGATTACAAAATTGTCACGCCTTCTGTTGGAGCCGCCATCTTACACAACTGCATCTTCTGACGATGACACTACGAAGCCTGCAAGAAATACACCAGGAAAACGTAAAAAAAAAACGAACGGCAAAAAACTCTTCAACAACCTTTTTTGCACGTTACTACTTATATTTTCGATGTGTGTTGGACCTACTACGCAACAAATGATCAACATAACGAAGCTTATCAGTTCAAGACTTTATTATGCAGATTATTCAAGATAAGTGGCAAATGGTTGTATACCACAATATGACGACATATTGGCGAAGTTTGGAAAACATACAAGACTATGTCAACCATTTGAACACATTATGCAAGAAAGAAGCAGCCTATCTTACAATTTCGTCCCAGTTTCAACACGAACTTAATGAAATTCAACACTATAACGATCTTTTATGATCTGAACATGGACCGTCTCGAATAAAAAGACTAGTGAATGGAATTGTAGACCTAGCAAAGTCCCTTTTTGTTACTCTGGATGAGAGATATGCCAATCAGTACGAGAAGGATATCAACATAAGCCAATCAAACAAAAATCATCTATTGAATCTCTACAAAAACCACACATCGATCATATAATATGTTGAATATAATCTTCTAAAAAGAAACGAGGAAGTAATGAACACACAATTTCGTATCATTGACAATCATCTCGCTAAAACTGAAATACGAGTCAGCCATGACAATGCTATGTACATAACAACTACCGCAACTCCTAGACCTCCTCCAAGACCCAGCAACTGACGGGAGAGTTGACACCCATCTCATCAAGTTTTCCAAGTCCAATTCAGTTACCAAGTGAGTTATCGCTATCCTGTGCACGCGAAGCCTGTACAAGCAGGCGCGAGTGCACGTGCGCTTAACAAGTGCATACCTAATATTCGAAGTGAAGCTACCACTAATAAACAACGAACAATGTGAACTTGACCGCATCATTCCTATTCCGCAAATAACTGGACACACAGAGAAAACTATAGTACTCACATCTGAATACCTCGCTGTAAACCTAAAAGGGACATGATAGTGCCCTTAGAAGACCGAGATGTAACATCATGCTTAAATCTTCAAGAAAACAAAATGTTATGTGCTATCAATCAACCTATTTACAACATCAAGGTAGCCAATACATTATGTGAAGCGCAAATGTTAAACAATGGCGACTTATCGACATGCCGCACAAGAGTATTGGATTGCAGCGACAGGTTGGTGCGATTACACAAACGTGGCGCATGGCTGTTCTCCTGTTGCGAAGACTGCACGATGCGCATTTTCTGCCCAGCTGGATTGACCAGGGATTATGTCACTCGGACTTGGGTGTATGCTCAAGGGAATAAGCTTTATCATTCATGCTCGCAACGACTATCACAGAGAGTTGAAACTAACAGGCAGTGAAGAAATAAAATACATGCGCGAATCAAGCCTGAACCACATATTCACAGACTTGAATCATACATTTGTCCCTGAAGATCATAAAGACGCCTTACAAGAGTTGAAATACAACACTGATACGGTCAAGGAAACATCAACAAATGCTAAGTGTACAATCACTTACACATGACACACACAATTATGTGTTGTACACCATAGTCGGAGTTATCATCGCAGCCTTCATTGCATGGGGGACATTTCGGCTGGAAAGAAGATGTCAAAGCTGCAGCGTGGATCCCCGCGACAGCCAGACTCCAATAATGTCGAGCAGCCAATCCAAGGACATTCAACGGAGCACCGGGTCTCGGACATCGATAGTGTGGAAGCTGTAATCGCAACGACTGCCCGTAAACTCAATAGGGGTTCATCGCCATAAACTTTCTTCTTGTTTATAAAATTAGCAAGATGTACGAGCAAGTACATGGTATTAATAGTTTAGGAAATATGCTGGTATTGCGCCTGCGCGCGCGACACGTTCATAGCACTTACATTTTATTCATAAGTATTTTTAGTACAATAAACACTCTCTACGGAATCTGACACAGTTTTGATAACCCAATCTCGTAACGTAGATACCACCTAAATCGACATCCTACACATCAATTATATGTACTACAACTGCTGTTATATTGCCTTGTATAGGAAGAAGCGGGATGATCAGAGCACTGCCATAGCCGTTCGTTCTATTACTACGATAACAGGAGAAGCCTGTAATTCTAAATGTAGACCCTGACTTAAGCCAGGTTTGCGATATTGCAAGTATTAAAGGGTTATATGTATTAATTAAGTGAATTATATCAGGTTTCTCGTTCCCGATACCCCGACAATTCCACTGGAGGAGGTTTAGGGATTCGAACTTTATTTATTCTGAAGAAGAGGACATCTAGTTTGTTTTGCACGTTGAACGGTAAATGGGAATCATCGAATTTGCCAACAATATCTGTAAGGGAGGCCACAAGATGTTGTAGAAGATTATCATTAGGGGATATTATATTATTTTGTAAAGCATGTCCATTGGGTAGAGAGGATTATAATGTTATAGTGTGAAACTTTATCATAATCTACTGAAGATTGCACTGGGGTAGTTTGGCTTTATAAATGGTTTTCCTATAGGACTGAGAAGGAGATGGAATTGTAGGAAGGTTTATAGGTGCCTGGGTAGAGGGGAAATGTTTTCTGACAAACGAGCAGAAGGCTACAAAGTATTATTACACTTTTTCTTGCGACGACTTGATAGCTTTTTGCCTTGAGTACTCTGGGCAACTTTTTCAATAGCCAAACTATTTTCCGAGCAGAAAAGACACGTTGGGGGATCTGTGGGACAATTTTCTCTTCAGAACATACTCTTTGCTGCATTTAAAGCAACGTGGTTTAGATCGACATTAAGCTTTAATATGTACAAAACGGCAGCTTTTTAGACGATGATATCCATTGAGATGTCGATTGGGATACTCCTACTCACACACATAAGAGTAACATTAAAAGTTGGAATGACAGCAGAAAGTTTATATTGCGAAAGAATCTGAGAGTCAATAAAATTATTAGCATCAGAACCTTACCACCTTAGACCATTCATGGTCTAAGGTGGTTAAGCTAAAGTAGCCACCAATGAGTCTTTTTTATATAGGATAAGGATGATAAACGAGCACACAGTCCACCTGATGGTAAGTGGTTGCTGTGGCCCATAGACATCTACATTTATCCTCAATTACGAATCAAAATGCAGCTGCGTTATCACCCGTGAAGACTAAGCGGGAATGCCTCGTTTTAAGTAAAAAGGGTCTCTGGTTCTCTACACTCACCATACGATACAGAGCAGCATTAACCTGCTATTTTACGCTGTAATTCTGTGAGAGCGTGGTCCTTCCCCGGTCGAGCCGATCCAGTCGTGTTACAACTATACCAGAAATATAGCTGCAGCATGGCACTACCACGAAGCAGATCCCTATCACAGACTAACTAGTAGATTCTACCATTTGCGATTTGCGTGTATTGAAATGTAATCTGTTATGTGTAAGCTTTTGCTTTCAGTGCTGCCAACGTAGGCGATTTTCCGCCAATTAGGCTAGCTTGCTACATATATATTTATCTATGGGCTACTCGGGATGGAAATCGGCTACGAAAAATTCTGAAAAACGACTGGTCGCCAAATAGGCTACTTGAGACGAACGATCGACCGTCAATTAGACTGAATCACAACGGAGGTCAATATAAGCGTAAAAAATATCTCCTCTGCAAAATTTACAAATCAAAATAAAAAACTGGCAACACTGTTAATTTCGGGGAATACTCCAAAACTAAAGCTCACTTTCACTCATCTGCAGACGTGCCGAGAGAGAGACGGGCCGATCCGAATACACGGACACCGACAAAGAGTTAGGGAGTAGGGCTTCTAACTTAGCCTGTTGCACGTATTAAGTAACCTGGGAGCAAAATGTACGTTTCCAGTTCCAGCGAAGCTTGCACAAGCACTAGCACAGCAGAGCCTACAGAAAATTTTGACGGTAAAAGTCTTGCTGATGCTTTGTTGCTGCTGGCAGCAGATGATCATTGCTGATTTTTTTAATTTGATATACTCTATGTACATCTTATGAATTGACAAGTTGTTTTAAAATTACGTTTTTATTTATTCATAGCGAAGTTTTGACGTTTGGGCTACTTTAGGCTACCTTAGCTCAAATTCGACTATATTAGGCTACTAAATCTGTGAAAAATGGCGATATCAGGTTCCAAGTTCTTGGCAACACTTTTTGCTTTTGACATTGACATAAAGTTAATTTTGTGAATTCTGAATACTATACTGTACTATACCTTGTACCTTGTGCTTGTTGTGCTTTGTGAATAGTTTAGCCGCACAAAGAATACGTTTTAACGTACTTTTGTCAGTTTTATAGTAATGTGAAATAGGATTAAAATATGGCTTTCTTGTGTCCAGTGAGAATTAGAAGGGGTAAGAAGAAGAAATGTAAGTAGACCCAAGCTTTTTTATTGAAACTTTTTGAGTCATTGACCTCAAACTTTCTATACATAAATATAAATATAGAAAACTAGTAAATTCATCTCGTTTTACGAGAACCTGTACGCCTGTAATATCCTGACCGTGGGAACGCTATTAACTGAACAATTTTAACCATAATCGACGTTAGTTAAACTGTTTTTGTTTACATTATTCACGAGACAAATCTCTTTCGAATTTGTATTCAAATTGAAATAAAATTACCGGACAAGACTTAATAAATTTGTATTGAATTATATATGATGTTGGATTTTAACTACCTACTTTAAAATATTACTATTTGTCTAACAATTGAAATATAAACAAACCCATATTATAATCCTAATCAGTACAGAGCAATATAAATTACCATTACCACAGCATTAGAGCCCATCAAAAGTCTACTGCTTTTAATTATCTGGCTCTATATAACCTTAGAGCAGAACACAGTAATGTAACCACTGCTATAATATGCCAATAAAAATAGATAAGATGGTAATACCTACGTTATCCAACTCCAAGGACAGTTATTAAGAATCCATTCATCCATTACAGCCTTTAAAAGTCCTGCTGAACAAAGACTGCCCTAATAGATTGCCTAGAAGGAGGATGTGGTCATAATTGCCACTCCTGGCAAATGAGCTGCCACTTACAGTTTTTTATAATTTGAGTTGTTATCAGGAAGATGCTACACTTCTCCTGTTTCAGTTTCCCTCGCCATCTCTTATGACACCCGCAAGACAATATGGAATGGATAAATTATATTGTTGCAACTACCTCTCCATGTTTATTCAACATTAATAATTAAAAATGTATTGTTAAAGAATTACATTATTAAGCAGTTACTACATTTATAAGGATTTTATATAAATGTTTGGATAAAACATTAATGAACATATAACTTAAATTATTATTTTTTTCTTTTCATTAGCAAATAGTGGTGACTCAGATAAAGAATTGTCCAGGCCAGGTTCAGGGCTTAGTCCTGGTATGGGTAGGATAACAGGATCGGCAAGTATTGAAACGCTAGTGAGAGTTGGTATTGAGAAAGAACATGGCCTTAGTCCAGATTCCAAAATGGTTGTGCTACATGATTTTGCACCTTGTGTTGATGATGAACTAGAGGTATGTATTTTTTTCTTTTTATTACTTACACATATATTATATATATATGGAACATAATGGTAAAAAGCAATTATTTTCTGTAGTGGCTTATGGTGGCATGAATATATCTAATGATGTTCCTGGTGAATTTATACCAAATTAACAAATTTTGAATACTGGTTAAAACTATACAGGAGATTTTAGTAAGATTCCAGTATGTATACACAGCATTACACAGCATAATACAGAGGCAATCACTAATGTAATTTTTCATAATTCACCACATTAGTTGCTCTTGATGAAAGGATTGGAGATTGCAGTACCAGATGTCCATCACCTTAAACACTGCTGTCTTTCATCGGTGTGAGTTTTTCTTGTCTGATATACTTCAATATGAGATGATGACCACCTTCTATCGGAAGCTACAAGATCTAAGCAATTCCCTAAGTCGCCTCTTATGAAAACAGATTTCATCGGAGGGGATTGTGTCAAACTCTCACAGAATACCAGTATCAAATAGCAGCTAAATACTGCTGTATTTCGTATGTAGAGTATCGGAGACATTTTTAATGATATAAAGGCATTCTATTTAAGTTCTCAGAGGGCACAACGCATCTACATTTGATTCTTTATTAAGGATAGATGTAGGTGTCTGTGAGCCTCATAATCCACTTACTCATTACAGGTAAAACGTGGCCAAATAGTAAATGTATTATATCGAGAAAATGACTGGGTGTATGTAATAGTAGCAGAATCTCGGCGTGAGGGATTCATACCACACTCATATTGTGCGCCTTGTGAGCATCACGATTTAAAGAAAAAACTACCAAGGAGTCGATCGCCCACTGATTTAGCACGTAGAGATGTATCACAGTAAGTATTTATCTATAAAACTAACTGATACCCACGACTTCGTCCGCATTGCTTGATATATTAATTTCGTATGTGCGAAAGAAAAAACATCACAAAGATTGCAAGCAAAAATATACTTTGCCAACAAAATTTTTTTGTAAACAATGTTATTTGTTGCTCTGTTTGTAGCTAAAATATATAAATTATCTAGGCTATTAATGCGAGAACAAGTGACATACAGTTGACCGTGTGGAAAACCTCGCATAAAAATTGTTATTTCTTAATTTATTTTTCTTAAAAAACGTAACCTCCACACTAGGATTTTCTCCTGTATCGTGGGGGTAGTTTACAAACATAGATTACACAAGGACAAACATCCAGACCCGGAACAATTATATGTAGGCCATACAAATACTTGTTCCATGCAGGATTTGAACCTGCATCCCTTAGCGCTGTAACTCAATTGCTAAGACACTGCACTACGGAGCCGTCATCGTAAATCTTTAATAACTTTATGTAAAATTAAGATATCACAATAATTTTTTTTAGATAAGGTTTATGTGTCTAAGAAATAAAACTTAGAAAACCTAATTTAAATCCATTCAGTTTTTCCGTGATGCGTGCCGAACTGCAAACCTGTACCATTTTATTTATATAGAATTATATATATTCACTTCTAAACAAAGCCTCTGGACAAAGTCTGTAAATAGCACACTGTCAGGCATGAACCATCACCAGTCTGAATATTTCACATATAGAAGTTGTTTAAACTCCCACTTTTTCTATAAAAATAAGGGTGACAACACAACAAATTTTCTTCTAAATAAATTTAAGAATATTTAACGTTCTTATAGTTCTGATAACATAAACACTCACGCCTGTTACCCAGAGCCCAGATGGATAGGCAGAGACTACGGACTTCCATTTGGCACGATCCTGACACATCTCTCTCGCCTCTTTTATAGCTATGATGTAAGGATTTGTTTATTATTGTTGTGGAGAAACAGAAAAAACTAGAAATATAACATTGAAAATATAAAGAAAAATAACATGAATGTGGTGGTAGATCATTGCTGTAGCAGTATAATAGCTGCACCATGAATGGGACGGCCCGATCAAGAAAGGACCACACTCACACTGAATACCAGCGTGAATAGCTACGTAATGCTATTGGGTTTCGTATAGTCTGTGACGAGAACCGAAGACCCTTTTTTACTGGTAACGAGCCTTATCTTTGTCCTCAGGGGTGACAATGCATTTGCATTTGGATAGTTTTTTTTTAAATTATATTGTGAGGATATATGAATAAAGAGCGGCATATAAGCCCGCAGCCTAAGGAAGTAAATGAAAGAAAATTATGAGCATTCCATTCTCATACCGTCAAAAACTAAGCCAAAACCCCCTCAAAATGGCTTTCAACTGCCGCCTTCATTTCATTGTCATTGAAACATTTACGATCATCCTTCAAATTAGAAAAAAGGAAATAGTTGCTGGGAGCCAGATCTGGACTGTAGAATAGGTGATTAATTTCCGTGTAGCCTGTGTCCTTCAGGGCCTGCCTGAAAACCCTCGCCGTGTGGACAGGCAGGTGTCTTGCAAAGACAGCACTCCGTGCGCTAACTTCCCACGTCTCTTTTGTACGGCTGTCTCTCGTGCCTGAACCAATAAATTTGCCTAATATTAACCATTCATAGTAGTCCCCTAGCAGGTAATCAATAAGCAAAACATCATTGCTGTCCCAAAAAACAGTTGCCATAAACTTTGATGCCGAATTTTGGACCTTGAATTTCTTCGGCGGCCTCTCTTCTTTTTTCATCCATTTCATAAACTCCACTTTAGTTTCCAGATCGTATTTACTAACCCAGGTTTCATCTACTGTTACAATTCGATCGCAAATTTCGTCGAGATTGTCCCCAACTAACTCCAAAAAGTCCTTACTGCCGGGCTATTCACAATCGTCTCGGAAAGCGAAATCGACTCGGATTCGATAACTTCTCGCACCGAAACCAATAAACGCTATTCACATTTAACGTTCGGATAAAGGTCACTTAGATATATCCCATAACTATTGTATCGTCATTTAGTTACATGCATTTACGAATTTTGTAGATAAATAGGCTTTTGTATTTTATTAGAGTAACGCCTGAACAAAAACATAATGCAATATTTTGGAGTTAGCCATTGATATCGAATATAAAAAATATATAATTTAACCATATAATAAATAACAAAAAAACTGAGATATGTCACATTTTTTGACTATGGTATACGAAGGCGTAGATTCCTGAAGAACTGATGACAAGTCTTCGAAAATTTGTTACGGCGTTTTGCCTTTCTCTACGAAGTACTTTACAGTTAAAAAGTTACAGCCTATTTACGTCCCACTGCTGGCCTCGTCTCACTTCTCAGTTGATTTTAGGAGATGACCACCGCGCTGCCCCGATGCGTGTTGGCGGACTGCACATTATATCTTTTTTTATACAGGAATGGGTGACAAACGAGCACACAGTCAACCTGATGGTAAGTGGTTGCTGTGGCCCATAGACATCTACATCTATCCTCGTTTGCGAATCAAAATGCAGATGTGTTGTCACCCGTGAGGACTAAAATCTCCGGTTCTCTACACTCACCATACGAAACACAGCAGTGTTAAGCTGCTATTTAACGCTGGTATTCTGTGAGAGCGTGGTCCATCCCCGGTCGAGCCGACCCATTCGTGCTACAACTATACTAATATAACTACTACTACTACTAATATAACTGCAGCATGGCTCTACCACGTACAAAAACATGTATTTTCTACGTTAATTCATAATTTATTATATATCGCCCACTGTGAAATATTTTCAATTGTGTTATTAATATTAGATTCATAAATATCCATGTCAATATCTTTCCTAGATATCACAATAACTGAAATATCATTATCAAATAGAATACATTTATTTAAAATTGAGTCATCTATACAAATAAATAAAATTGAAGTGTCTGTTTGTAATGTCAAAATTACAGCTTTTTACTAATTGCATATAAAAGTATAATACGGTACTTATAACAAAAACACAATTTTTAAAATTTTTGTCTGTCTGTCTGATTGTTCCGGCTAATCTCCGAAACGGCTGGACCGATTTTGACGGGACTTTCATTGGCAGGTAGCTAATTTCATAAGGAATAACTTAGGCTACTTTTATTTTAAAAAAAGAATTAGGTTTCCGCGCAAAAACATAAAAACCCTAACACGCGAGCGAAGTTGCGGGGAACAGCTAGTTTATGTATAAAATGAAAAGAATTGGCCCTAATACAGTACCTTGTGGAACTCCAAATGAATTTAATCTATCACTGGATTTGTAAAAAGTTAATGTCTGTGAATTATCACAGTACACAGTGTGACCAATAGTGTTATCAGGATTTCAGATGACTGAAACATCTAGGAAAGCTAAAGAATTGTTTGCCTCTAACTCCATTGTGAATTGTATTTTAGGGTTTATGGAATTAAGGTGGTCTAAAAATGCCGTTACTTTGTCAAATGGTAAAATTGTGGCTGCTGTAAAGCACCCGAAACGTCGGGAATTAAAAAGTTAAATTAAAGCGATATAATCCGTAAAAATTAGTTAGAAACTCGCGTAAATATAAGAAATCATTATAATAATATTTTTTTTTTTCTAAATAGGTAATGACCAAAACCATTATTTTCTTAATTGAAAAATATATTTTGAAAGTCGGAACGGTGACAAAAAAGACTGACTAAGGGAAATCTAAACAAAAAAGATTAGACTATAAAACTATATGAGGGCAAGATATTTTTACTATATTTTACGTAACAGAGCCACGCTGCAGTCGTATTATGATTGCTAAATTAATGGGTCTGTGTGACAGGAGAAGGACCATGTTCTCACAAAATACCAGCGTAAAATAGGTTAATGTGTATGTTGAGTGTAGAGAACCAGAGACCCTTTCTACTGGTAAAAAAGGCATTCTATCTTAGTCCTCAGGGGTTATATTCTTAAGGATAGATGTAGGTATCTATGGGCCACAGCAACCACTTACCAATTCGTGTGCTCGTTTGTCACCCTTAGTGACGTCAATAGCACAATTTAATCTACAGTTTCAACAAGCGTCTCACGTATTTTCTTATAACTTTAAATAAACGTACGTTATTAAAACTCACATTTAAATTGCTTAATTTGGATTTAATTTAATCATCCTATCGAGGACAAAAAGATCGTTTTGACTAAACGAAGTCAACACTCACAAAACTTGAGGAAGAAAAAGGTATAAATTAACCTTAAAAAAATAATATAATCAATTCATATGTTACCATTGTTTACAGATTATCTTTATCAGACGGTGCTACAAACGACGGGCACTCAGAGCTAGGCAGTGAAGGTGAAGCGTGTCCGTTCAGCAAAGACCCGTCCGGGCGCTACGTAGTGTTGTACACATTCACTGCGCGGGACGAGAACGATGTTGACGTCGAGAGAGGGGAGTTTGTTACAGGTATGTAGAAATAAATTTAATTATATAAGATACACGCTTTAAAACGACTCGTTTAAAATAACAATACTCCCTGTAATGTAGACTTTAGTCAAGTTTATTTGGTTTCATCATCACAGCCTATCAAAAGTTCCAATTTAAAACCTCCCTCATAGATTGCCACATAGAGGTGTATTGAATGAAATTGAAATTGTAGACGACGCGTTTGTGGCCTGCCTTAAAATAGTTCCGTTGAAAGAAAGGTAGCAAAAGATTTTGTTCGGTTTAATTATTAATGAATTTTTATGTTACGTTATGTTATGTTTACAAAAACCATATTTTTTGTTATTGACAGTTTTAAATAGAGAAGATCCAGACTGGTATTGGATTGTAAGGAGTGATGGTCAAGAGGGCTTCATACCTTCAGGCTTCGTTTATCCCGCGGTAGTCCAAGGTAACGTACCATGAAAACATAAAAATAAAAAATACAACCCATATACGTTCCATATCTGGGCACAGGCGTTCACTCAATTACACTAATCCGCCGCGCGGTCCATGGTGCCTTGACAGACTTCGCATGGGTTTTTTCAGACTTCTAATATCGAACCGAAATATATTGTCAAACAACTAGGTACTTTCGCGGTGTTTTCTTTTTCCAACGAGCATGTTTTAAAAATCAGCATTTGACATTGCAACGATTTTGATTTGATGCATTTTTTCTGCCAACAGGGCGGCGTTACTTAAAAATTAGGTGTAATATTTGACAGATTTCATAGCGGTGAAGTTGCTTTGTTCGAAAAATGTGAAGGTTAATGTTTCTTTCTATACTGTTACTTATATTTTATGTTAATTAGATTGAAAATAAATACAGCACTCCACAGATATTAATAAAAGTAGAAAAATAAAAAAAGATAGATAAATATGTTCAAAAATTAAAGAGCAAATAACTGAGGCATTGTTTTGTGTATTATAATAATCTAGAAAGTGATAAACTTTTATTTAAAACTAACTTAAAAACTTCGCCTCAGTGTCAACTAGCGACATCTGGTGAGCGGAAGATTATTAACGGTGGTCATTATTACAATAACAGATATTGTAATGCATTATTTTCACGTAATATAAAACATTGCTATAATGTATCTCCTTATCGAACTCCTATCTATCTTGCTCTTGTTATCTTATTATTTTTCTATCGTGTGAACAGGCCAGTATGCTATAGCATTAGCAATAGGTGTGAGAGAAAAAGGGCGCTACTAAAGCATTAACAGACTTGTATTGGTTGCGTTACCGACAATTTTCGTGTTATTGAAATTGCCATATAGTTTAACACAGTTGTTAGTGTTTAAAAAAAACTGTAAATATTGCTTTTTTCGGAATCATGTAAGTTATATTAATAAAACGTATATGATTATTTCATTAAATGTGTGTTTTTATTTATAGTGTGCACTGCAATAGCCTGCACTCTAATACTTAAAACATAAAACAATTATTTTCAGCAACCCAACAAGAAAATGCACAACCAGTCCATTCGCCACCGACAACAAACGCCAATAACACAATGTTGTCGACCAACAACACCACTCTGAACACTACATCACAACAGGACCCCGAAGGACGCTACCATGGAACTGAGCTAGTCATGCTTTACGACTATAAGGTATTAATTATATGTTCTCAATTTGAAACGTTGATTTGAAAGAAAACATGAACACAACACAATGATTTTTTGGCACTTTTTTTATCATATTCTTGCATTGTCATCCGAATTTGAGCTATATTCAAAATTTAAGGTTTCCTTCTCATCAGGAAGTTAGTTTAAAATCAATTACTAAATTCCACCCTGAATGAGAGACAAACAAAAAAGTGACTTAATAAAAACGTGGTAAAATGACATTTGTCAACCGAAATTAATTTCTAATTTTAGTAATTATTGGTAAGCCTGCCAAGGACGGTGATTACAGTGAACTTTGCTCCACTGCTGGGCTAACAGATCTATCATCCCATCTTTCTATGTGGGTAGCAATACAAATATGTGCATCGCGATGGTGCTTCTTTTAGAAATAAGAAGGGTAACAAACAAGAATACAGTCTAGAGGATAAGTGGATGCTGTAGCCAATAGACACAATCTTTTGTTAAGTATCAAACTCAACAGAATTATCAATTGTGACGACTAAGATGGAATAAGTCGTTTACAAATATCAATGAAATTACATACATGTCACAGAGGCACTTTGTAGGTGAATATACTAATTTGCACTTTATAGCGTCGTAGCAAAAGTTGCTTTTATTTACATGTTTTTGCGGAGATATTCTTCTGTACCTTGTACTCAGGGGCGTAGCTACCGCCGTATCAATGACACGGGGCCCCGTACTAAAAATTCTAAGGACTTCTATGGGACAGGAATTCAATATAAATAAACCTAGCAAGCTAACAGCATAGCAAAGTGGCGAAGCAATCAGCTTTGTAGCGGTTTCTAACGGTTGCCGTTGAGCAATCAGTTTCAAAATAGGAGGTTCAGATGCCTGGGTGATCAGTAATCGATTGCTGAAAACAGAATTTGAAAATTCAAAACCGTTCTCGAGATAATCGTGGGACAGACGGACAGACATCGTGAAATCAATAAGTGACTTCTTTTATTCAATGAGTGTTTTTGTTCTTTATGTGAAAATTCTGTACTTTTCATTTGGGGCCCCCAATAAATTGATTAATTATTTAATTCAATGAGAGTATTTTTATTACTTTTGTGAAAAATCTGTACTTTTCGTTTGGGGCCCCCAATAAATTTTGATACACGAGGGTCCGTCTAAGGCCCACTACGCCACTGCTTGTACTATTATGTATCCTGTGATACAGTGAAGGCGTTTTACATACATAAATAGCAAATGGGCAAACATCCTGATCCGGGGTAATTGCTTGTAGACCATACAAACACCTGTTCCGTGCGGGATTCGAACCTGCGGCCCTTGCCGCCTAACAAATACTTAGCTGTCAAACAATTTCCGAAAACATGAATAATTTTGTTTATATCATTTCAGGCGCAAGCACCAGACGATTTATCTGTAAAACGCGGAGAATGGGTCTATGCAGATCTGACACAGCAAACAGTTGAGGGTTGGCTGTGGGCACACGCCCCTAAATCGCGACGTTCCGGATTCATTCCCACCGCATACGCCCGAGCGCCACACACTACGTCCCTTTGAACGTATTATTTCTTGTATTTCTAGTTTGGTTTAAAGACTAATAAACGAGACTATAGTTCCGTGTCGAATATTATTTTTATATTGTGTCTATTGCTTTGTTCTGCTTCACAATAAAATACATCGACGTCAAATATCTTTCGGAAACTGGGTTTAAAAAGAAGTATAGTATTCCTATTAAAGATCTTAATATAAGGTCTGGCACATAATACTAAATTTTTGAAATGTATCACAAAATAATTTTATTAAAAATTAACATTTTATTGTCTTCCATAGTTATTAGGTATTTTGACTATTTACTGATGCTATACAAACGTTTTGTAAAATATATCCGTCCAAATTGACTAATTTTGATGTTGTGCTTTACTATTATAAAATTGACGATTGTTAAGTATGTGTAGTTTTTTTTTTTAATAAATGGCTTTAAAATTTTACATGCGTTGTTTTATTCATAAACTAATTGGCCTAGTAGACGTTGTTATAGGATGAGATTCATTTTCACGCATACAATTTTCTACACTATACCTAAATCCTCTTTATGATTAATGGAACTATTAACAGTCATTATGAAAATAAACTTTTTAAAAAAATCTCAAACATCTCAATTTGGTATAATTTCAAATAAAAGTAGAAGCCATTTTTACTAGTATTTTCAAAAACTGCAATGACGGTATATTATTATTTATATAGGTTAAAATTTGGCTACTCTGAAAAATAACCCTGTAATGTATAGATGACTGATTTACAGATAATAATTTAAAATTAAAAATTTCAATACAAATTATTAAGGATAACTCAAAAATTGTTGGTCTGACCTTATTCAAATTATATGGGACCACACGAGAAGTATCAGCTTTCATATAAAAAAAGAATCATCGAAATCAGTTCACCTAGTAAAGACATGAGGTAACACAAAAAAAAAACATACGCGTCGAATTGATTACCGTCTCCTTTTTGGAAGTCGGCAGAAAATGACAAACATTTACGGCTTTTATCAGTTTTGGAATTGGACAAAAAGTTTTTTATTGCATTTTCTACGGACTTCACAGTGGTAGAGCCAGGCGGCAGCTTTTGCTGTCGCACGGATGGGCCGGCTCGAACCGGGGTGGTACCACGACCTCACAGAATACCAGCGTGAAGTAGAGGTTTACCTCTGCGTTTCGCTTGGTGAGTGCAGGTGGCCGGAGGCCCTTTTTACTGGAAATGAGGCATTCCATCCTAGTCCTCACGGGTGACAATGCATCTATATTTTGATTCGCAAGCGAGGATAAATGTAGATGTCTATGGGCCACAGCAACCACTTACCATCAGGTGGACTGTGTGCTCGTTTGTCACCCTATCCTATAAAAAAAAAAACTTCAAAAAGAGTTTTTGAAGTCGCTAGTTTGTGAGATTTGAGTTATTCTTAATAACTTATATATTGAAGTCGGCTGTACAAAATTTTTAATTTTTAATTATGAATAAAGCAATCTGAAATAAAATTCTCAATCCTTTCTAGTTTTTAATTACACAAATTACATTTACTCGGTTTCTATAAGTACATTCCTCTTCTTTTTCTTTGCTTGCTGCTTTATCTCATCCTTTATTGTCCACTCTTCTAACTGCTGCTCCACCTTCTTTATATCCTGCTCGGTCACTGTTATTGGTAGTTGTAATTCTATTTGCTCGTTTCTTATAAAGTTAAGTGCCTCGAGTTTTTTTCTAAGGAAAGGTCCCTGTTGACTCTCCAGTAGGTTTCTATAGTCCGCTAATTTTTTGTTCTTAATGTCATCACAGTGCATCTCAGTCAATTTACGCAAGGATTCCTTTCGTGATAACTTGTGATAGGTCCTGTTAGATTAAAGTAAAATGTTTAATTAATGTAGTAAGGGTGTAAGAAAATCCATCCCTCTATTTCATCCCATGGGGTGTCTTGAGACAAATATGGGAAATGACAGAAAAACATGACTTCACATATATTTTTTATGACAATAGTGTTTATGCCTGGCTTAAGATACTCTGACCGGCGGCGGGACGCAGCATTAAAGGTACAAGACTTCTGGTACTGCGATCATCTACTCGTTTGACAAGCTTGACGATTAAAGGGAATCCTCTCTACAGCAGGAAAGGCCAATAAACATTTACGGGCTAAACAATAAATCAAGAAGATGATAAATACAAGATAGATAATAAGATTAATGACTAAAGTATACTATATTACACATAATATATATATATTCTTTAAGCCTTTATGAAAATACATTTTATTACATTTAACTCAGAAGTATAAATAAAATAGTACTATCAACAACAACAAGTAACAAATAACATCTAATGATAAAGCATATTTGAGTATTGTTTTTATAGAAGAGGGGGCAGACGAGTATGCGGCTCACCTGATGGTAAGTGACTACCGCCGCCCCTGACCAACTACAACACCAGGGGAATTGCAGATGCGTTGCCGGCCTTTTAGAAAGGTGTAAGCTCTTTTCTTGAAGGTATCGGTCCGGAAAAATCGCCGTTGGTAAAGAAAAGTTGTATGAGGAAGAAAATTCCTAGTAAAACGCACAGTCATGGACCGCCAAGCATCTAGATGGTGAGGATGGTATCGTGAATTTTAACACGATGTGCTTTCGTGAAATTTGAGAACAGAGCTACTACATAAATAACAGAAGTACATTTCAAGTTAAAATAATAGCGTTACAGAAAAATTAATGTTCTACCCTCTGTACTAATTTACACTGTATGACAGCATTCTTAGTAATCTTCACGAAAATTAAAGCAAAGATTTGTAATTAGGAAAAATATCATCAAATATACAAGCTGCTACTTAAATGAACTTCATAATAGTTTAAACTAATTCACGAAAATACTAAGTGATGACCAATATTTTGGAACATTTTATTGCTTATTATACAAAGTACAACAATATTGTTAATATCAAGGGAACATTATCTGTCAATGTGTTGCTATAATATCTTGCAGACATGGTTTACATAAAATGAAACACAGCACATGCTGCACTTGCAATTTATTGCGTGGTATAGCCATACTGCAGCTATATTACTGGTATAGTAGTAACACAAATGGTTCAGCTCGACCGGGGAAAGACCACACTCTCACTGAATACCTATGTAAAATAGCAGCTTAAGACTGCTGTATTTCGTATGGTGAGTGTAGAGAACCCGAGACCCTTTTTACTGGTAACGAGGCATTCCATCTTAGTCCTCACGGGTGACAATGCATCTGCATTTTGATTCTTTATTGAGGATAGATGTAGATGTCTATGGGTCACAGCATCCACTTACCATCAGGTAGACTATATTTGTCACCCCAAACCTATAGAAAAAAATAGGTAAAAGTTTTTATCATATGACAGTATCTTTTTTTAAAGTTCTTACTACTGACTTATAGAATTCATTTATTTAATACTAGCTGTTCCCCGCGACTTCGCCCGCGTGTATTTTAGGTTTTTAATTTTTTGCGCGGAACCCTAATTATTTTTCTAAAACAAAAGTAGCCTAAGTTACTCCTTATAACATCAGCTGTCTGCCAGTGAGTCCCATCAAAATCAGTCCAGCCGTTTTGGAGATTAGCCGGAACAAACAGATAGACAAAAATTTTTAAAATTGTATTTTTATTATAAGTACCATATATAATTTCATATGCATTTAGTGAAAAGCTGTTATTTTGATGTTACAAACAGACACTCCAATTTTATTTATTTGTATAGATGACTACCTGATACCCGCGACTGGATGTCCACATTGCTTGATATATTCATTTATTTATTAAGTATGTGTGAAAGGAAACACATCAAAAAGACAAAATTTCTTTGTAAACAATCTTATTCGTTGCTAGCTAAAGTATATAAATTATATGAGTTAGTAACGCCAGAGCAAACGAAGTACCATTGACCATGTGAAAAACCCCATATAAATATAGTTGTTTCTTAAAATGTTAATAACTTTATGTTATATGAAGATATTGAAATATTTTTTTTTAAATAAGACCAAGTGTCTAAGAAATAAAATTTAGAAAACCTAATTGAAATCTTTCCAATAGTTATTCCATGATGCACGCACAACTACAAACCTCTATCATTTTATTTATATAGATAATGTGCTATTGGAAATGGGATGACTTTCAAACACCAAACACTCAACACATGTGTGCATCCTGCTAAATAACTAATAATTAATTTCAAAATGCCTAACACAAAACTTCGTAACATTATCAGAGTGGTAGTATTGACAATGTGACCACATTGCCAAACACTCCCTAAATCACAACTAATGAGTATAAGCTAACTAATATGACGGCTTCGTGGTGCAGCGGCTTAGCAATGAGTTGAGGCACTGGGGGCTGCGGGTTCGAGTCCCGCATGGAACAAGTATTTGTATGTCCTACAAATAATTGTTCCGGGTCTAGATGTTTATCCTCGTGCAATTTATGTTTGTAAACTGCCTGCACAACACAGGAGAAAATCCTAGTGTGCTGGTAATGTTTCTTAAAAGAATAAAAAAAAATACATAAGAATGCAAGCATGTAGTTAGTCTTTAAGTAGTCAAGAACATAACAGTCTCTGGTTTGTTGGGATCTCTTATCATAGGGTCCCAGGTATATTTCAAGGGTCAGGGTAAAGAAGTTGGTGTTGTTTTTCCCCTCTGCCTCAGAAAGTAATGTAAAGCAATCCTACGCCTGATCTCTCTCTCCAGCCATGTTGGATTGCCGATCCATCAACTATGAGAAGGAGAGAGGGAATAGTGCACCTGTGCTTGCGCATATACTTGGGCACTATAACATTGTCTGCAGAGATGATTTGTCTTTGTTGAGACCTGCCGCTGTAATCAAATTTCGGTCTGGAGGACATAATTTTTGATTGCTTACTCTGGATGTCCTTTATATTCAAGATTAAGTTTTTCCAACAGCCATTCAAACTTCTTGTAATCATATTGTCTTAAAAACTTTAAAAGCTTTTTCCTCTTATCTATAAGCTCCTGTACAGTTTGCTGAAATCAAATTATAAAATTACTAAGTTCATATTTTTTATAAATAAAATAATAGATCTAAGATTTAAACAGAAATAACATCAACATTTTATCTTATTTAGTAAAATATTACACCTATCATAATACCTCAAATCACTGAGAATGCTGGTAATTATTATAAGAATAAGGATAAGGAATAATTTTGTATAATCTCAAAAATTAATCTAAACAAACGAAATAAGAATATATATATGTAAATAAACTTACTTTGGCTTTAACATTTTTTGGAAATTTTTCCATTGTATCTTGTAAACATCTTATATGACCAGTGAGTCTAGCAACTATAAAAAAGGTCAGTTATCAGTTAAAACATGGCAAGTAGTTTTTTTTTTAGAATTAATGAAATTACTAAATATGATAAAAGGGAAGGACTTCAGATTTACTACCCCTTAATATTGAAATGGGAGGAAGAGGAGGGGAAACCTAATATATTTTATAATTATTATTATTATTATTAATGACAAAATAAGAATATTTCAACTTTATAAAACTCAAACTCAACTTGCTCAAACAAAATGCATCATGTCAAATATTCTTGTATGTCAAATGAGCAAGATTATTAAAGAGTCGTAGTTTTTAATTTCCCCAATAACTAAGTATGTGTTTCCAAGCACTGAAACTAAACACATAAATTATAAAAGTAGATCTTTCAAATAATAGTCATTTCAAAGTGCTTTGGGTAGTTAATCTAAAGGACAGCTAATGGCAGTAAGTATGTAAGATTCAGTTCTCACTTCGAGTTTCAGCAGTATTTTCATCATATTGATGTCTTTTGACTTTACTTATCATATGTGTTTTGACCAGCTGATTATATTCCTTCTTGCCAAGATGAGCTACTGAGAACAATTTTTTAACTGCTTCTGATGCACTGGAAATAATAACATTAGATAAGAAAGTAATAGTAAACTTTTTATTGGGAGACATAGATAATGCCAGTATCAGCAATTTCTTAGCTGTAGTCATAATAATGGTCAAAATATTTGACAACAAGTTATATAGTTTTATTGGCGTATTGTGATAGTAAAACTAAATGTCTTCTCTGATCTTCTCATTGGGATAAGACAGGAACTTATAATACAAAATTGATGAATTGAGGTTATACATTCTATATGTATAACACTAACTTTAAAATCTTAATTTTGATCATTTTACATAAGGCATACGTACTTTTTCATTTCTTCACTTAACGCATAATATTGACCTAGAGCACTTGTGGGAATATTTGGAAGTGCTTCTAAATCACCTGATCTTTCGGCTTTATACGCGGGCACATATTCCGGGCGCACCCATTTTATATTAACTTGATGTTTAATACCACGAGACTGGATTAAAGAAAATGATAAGCGTCTAAACATTTTTTTCCATTAAATGGTTCTACTACTAATGCAGAATGTTTTTGAAGATAAATTCAAATTAAGGTTATATGTTTACAGTTTATATATTCTTTTCTTTAATGACATATATTGACATTTAGATTTTATTATAAATGGCTTTACGGCTGTAGGTTCTAGCCCTTCTGAGCCTGAAATTACTTATTATACTTCAGAAGCATATCACCATCAGAGCACTTGATTCAGCGTTTCAACTAATAGTCACATGCTCAGACACATAATACACAAAATTGTACTACTTTTATTTATCAACATCTACTTAAAACCATTATTTAAACAATAATACAAGAACAGCAATCCTCCACCGTTCAAGTTCCCGCCAAAACTCCCTGACATTTAGAAAATAATGATTGACACCATAGATAAATAAATATGTAGATAGAAACTTGCTTGTCGCCCCCCCCCCCCCCCCCCCCCTTCCACAACCTATAAATTTGGAATATAAAACACGTAACATAATTAACGCACATCCTGAAAGTAGTTCGTTCAGAATCGTTTACTGAATCGATTTCAATCATTTTTAATATAGGTAATTTTTTATCCCAAAAATAATTGAAACTACGTAAATTATAGTCACACTAAACCTGTACAGTCAAAACAAACTGAAATGGACCGTAACTCTAGGCAATAAGACTTTTAAAAGTGCAGTTTTATTTGTACCTAGTCAGGTCATAAATTGTGTCACATGTTTAATATAAAATAATTGAAACAAGCTTATTTATTATGTAACCATTTATATACCAAAACGAAGTTAACAAAACATAGATTCTTATGACACTAAAGTTTATTCAAAATGACTTCCGTGATTTTCACTACAGGCCTTCAATCTGGGCGGCCAGTCGTCTATCGCAGCACAAACGAGGTCCATGTCAATATCGGCGACTGCCTTAATCAAGGATGTCTTGAGTGACTCCAAATTGGGATGAGGCTTTGAGCACGCCTTTTCCTTCAAGTTTGCCATATCTTGTAATCTAACGGATTCAAATCTGGACTGGAGGAGGGCCAGTCTTCGTGCCGGATGAAGTCGATTTCACGCGCCGCCAGCCAGTCTTGTGTGCTCTTCGCTCTATGAGCTGGCGCTGAATCTTGTTGGAATACCCAGTGCCTGTTATTGAACATGGTATGAGAAACAGGTTCCACAAGGTTCGTCAGGACTATATTTTGATACACAACTGCATTCGTTTTTACACCTTTCTCACAAAAATGTACCTCTGTTAAGCCCCAATAAGAAACTCTCAACCATACCATAAGCGAGGATGGAAAATGACCTCGTTGGACACGCGGAATACGGTTGCTCGCTTCTTCACTACTGTGTGCGTACACCTTATCATTTTGATTGTTGTAGCTCTCTTCTACGGTAAAAACTTTTTCATCCGAAAAAAGAATTTCCCGATATTTTTTTCCCGCGTACCGCTTCTACAAAGTGCGGCATCTCTTCAGTCTCAGGTCCATTAGACGAGTATTCAAACGATGTCCTGTTTTTCTTCGATATGCCCGAAGCCCTAAGTCTTCATTTAACACCCTTTTCACCGTGGTTCTGCTTAACCCCATCTGAAGGGCCAACAGTTTCTACTTACGTTTGGGATTTCTTTGAATTCGCGCCTTCACAGCTTTTATCACTGCTGGAGTCCTATCAGACCGAAGGCGACCACTTCTTGATCTGTCATCTACACTAGAGTCTTCATTGTATCGTTTGATGGTACGATAAACGAATCTTTTGGTTATACTCAAATTTTTCAGTATGTCAAAAATTTGAATTGGCGCGTAACCGCAACGATGCAACGCAATAACTGCAACACGGTCTTCTTTAAGCGTCCACTCCATATTTAAAAATGAGTAAAATTCTAAAAAGTATACAGTTTTATTTTCATGAACAATTCGAAATTCGAATTCAATAAACTTTTTTGTTGCCAGCATTCTAAAAGAAAAGTTTTTACTGTGTGACAATACTTATGACCTGACTAGGTATTAATACAAATTCTGTCATTCAATACAAAATAAAGAAAATTGAACCTTATTTCAAGTACATTAAAGTCTTTACAAATACAGAGTTTGGAGTGCCTTATAAAGGTCACGGTGGCCCTGTCCATTGACCTCCCAGATGAGCTGATTTGACGCCTCTTGACTTTTTTTTATGGGGACGTATTAAAGCATTAGTTTATTTTAGTAAGATGACAAGTGCTGAAGACCTAAGAATAGGATAGTGAACGCTTTTAGAATAGTGAAAAATGACACTGAATTGCTTTCTAAATTATTTTTTTTCTTTTCCTTTCTTTTTTAAAACGTAACCTCCACACTAGGAATTTCTCTTATATCGTGGGGGTAGTTTTCGTAGTTTACAAACGTAAATTGCACCAGGACAAACATCCAGACCAGGAACAATTACTTGTAGGCCATTCAAATACTTGTTGCCTGCGGGATTAGAACCCGCGGCTCTTAGCGCTACAACTCAGTTGCTAAGCCACTGTGCCACGGAGCCGTAGTGGACATTTTGAAAGTGTATTCTTCTTATTTTTAGCAGTTCATTATTATTTACGATTACTTTTAAAATGTTATGCAAATTCATAACATTTTGTAACGAATATTGCCTATTGACATTGTATCATAATCAATAAACAAAATTATTTAGAGTCGAAAGTCCAAAGCCTGAAAAGTATGATGGAAAGATGCAATCAAATGTTTACTAGACTTAAATAAACAACTCAATGCTCGGAGTTCCGACATCTGTTAATGTTCATATGTAGGTATTTCTTTAACTTAACCAATCACGTATTTTCGGCTTTTTTCGGCACTAATACCGACCTACAGTTGTGTTAAGCGGCGGCGGCGTTAACTCGTCTTGAACGCGAGTGAATACCTACAAGGCTAGCAAGACCTATACCTAGCGTTCGGGTAGTTCTCATCAAAATGATATTTTTCGCAAAAAAGTTACCAATTTTTTAAACCTTCATACAGGCTTAAAATATTATGCGTAGATAATTGTTTTGTTGATAGTAAGCAGTTTTGTCTAGGAGGCATTCGAAACTAGGCACTGGTTTTAGAAAAAAATGTCATTATTTGAAGTTTGCTGTTACCGAGAATGACAACTTGTGAAAATAATAACATTAGTGCAAAGGAGAATCATGCTATGTTACAAATAATGACAATTTCATAAAGAATAATGAAGCATGTAATCAATAAATTGCATGATAATTTGTAATATTTTTTTTATTTTTATGAAATTTTATGAAAATCGCGTCTTTGGACATTAAAAAATTATAGAGTATCTATTAGGAACTTGTAACAATCTCTTTAGACTACTTCTCAAAAGACTTTAAATCACATCTTTTGTTTTTAATCAAAATTAAAACTAACATTCGAATTCACAGAACTTATAAAATTCTTACAGTAATGAACAAAGCGAAAATTATTATATTAAGAGACTTTTTAAATCTTCTAAGACTGTTGTAACTTCTTTGAATTCGACAGTACTTAATACCTTTAGGCACAATTAAAAATCTCAATCAAAATTAACACACAAGTATTGATAAAAATAAACACAATCACGATTAAATAAAAATATAAGTCATTTAGTATTTTGTGAAATTCTACAAAATCAAGCAATCTTGAAAACTTAAATTAAAATATGATAAAACTAGCCACAAAAAAAAAATAAACCGAACAGAAATACATTTTAGTTATTATGATGTTGATGGTTTGTTGATGTCGTCAAATTTTGTTTTCTCAAGAATGGTCACATTAGGATGATTAGAGATGCGTCCTCCAAGTTTTTTAGGTACATTGATCTCGTTTAACATTATATCAGAGAAAATTGTTCTTTTTTTATTCCAGGTGTGATTAGATTTTGTCTTCGCAACTAGTGTTAGATCAGATTCGACAAAGTAACATTCTACGTTTTCTTTTAGCAACAGAGGTATACATCCTAAATGTTTGCTATGTTCACAAATTTTTGAAGGACTGCAGTCAAAGCAACTCAACTTTCTTAGAGTAGTTTTTGGTTTAGACCTATCCCACAATGCTTGGTAAACTGAAAAGGTGCCTCTAAATGGTTGTAGGTTATATGGGATTAGGCTGGCTTTAAGTAGTATGTCACTATCCTCGAGTTTTTTGACTATCACCTTTGATCTTTCATCTTCAATGTATTTCGTAATTAATTCGTAAAACTGATCGAATGACCCAACGTCTTGTCTATACATGACAATTCGATCTGCCGTTCTTTTGATAGTACCTACACCTTTTCCGTGACCAACTTCTGAATAATTCCACGTTATTCTGTTCAGATGCGGGAAGTCATTCTTTGACTGAGTTATTAGATAAAATATATACTTATTTTTATACTGGGAGGATGGTGGATCCGATAAAAAATGTATGGTGTCAATAAACGGGTTTAATGTAATCACTTCTTCTATTAAAGTTATGAAATGACACCATACAGCTGGAGCATCATGACGTAAGCAATCACTTATTGTGCACATGGAAGTTGCTCCAACTTTTCCATGAGAAAAATTATGTGTATAGGTAACTGCAGTATGCAAGGAAACCTGCTGCCTACTTCCACCAAAGTGGAATGACTGAACTTCTGTTCCATAATTCAAGGCATAATTTTCAGAAAAATCGACATGTACTAATACTTCCTGAATATGTAGATTTTCTTTAAGATTCTTAATAGCTTTGTATTGGCTCATAATTTTATAGTTGTGTTCAAAAAATTTTGTCAAATTTCTCTTGAATTTATCTAAAGCTTCTATCGTTGTAACTGTAATTTTCGTCTTTTCAATAATTGATTGTTTTTTCTTCCATTCTTCTTTGTTCTTTCTTTCCATTCGTAAGTGTTATTTCTTTTGTTACTTTTTTCCATCCGTAAAAAGTGGAGTAATTGCTCGAAAGATCATTATATACTATGTCATTTGATTTGCATGCGTCACAGTTTCTTCGCAAACAATCAATATTTTTGTTATCATATTATCACAGCACATTTTGGAGAGCACTGCTTCGGAATTTTTCTCTGTTATTATAGACGTTTTACTTAGACCTTTTTCTTTTTTTTATAGGATAGGGTGACAAACGAGCACACAGTCCACCTGATCAACATCAACATCTATCTTCGATTATGAATCAAAATGCAGATGCGTTGTCACCCGTGAGGACTAAGATGGAATGCCTCGTTTCCAGTATAGAGGGTGTCCGGTTCTCTACACTCACCATACGAAACACAGCAGCGTTAAGCTGCTATTTTCCGCTGGTATTCTGTGAGAGCGTGGTGCTTCCCCGGTCGAGCCGACCCTTTCGTGCTACAACCACAGATTACTTAATATTTTACTAAACAGATACATCACTCCCATACAAAAGCGAAAATACCTACGCTATAATAGCCTACAAAATCTTAATAATAAGATCTGCTGTTCGCAGCGAGAAGAAAATGTACCATAAGTACGCGCGGAAAGAGTCGAGATTGTGTTGACCACCGTGCGCCTCACGTGCAAACGGGTCTTCGCACGAATGCGCTAGGGTTGTACCTATGATGATTATTGTAATAAAACGAATCTTGCGAAATAACCATATTTTGTATTTTTCAATCAAATATGTTTGAGTTTTATAAAATGATTTATACATTTTTTTCCTTCTCTGAATTCTCGGTTATTAAATCTTATCGTTGAAAATATCCTGATTCGCGTAAATAATTTTAATAAATAATCATGAGAAAAACAGGAGCAAAGCGGAGGAAAATCAATGGTTTGTAAAATTTGTAACACGCTGCTGTCAGGCCGATTGATTATGGCGTTGTCAAAATTATTTAAGACTTATTATATAAGTTATTACATAATTTGGGTGTCCAGGTTATCATTCAATTTATAAATCAAGCACTGTTATGCTGTTGCTTCGATGTAATCTTATAGTTAAGATAAAAATGACAATTTTTCATTTGTTTTTGACTCTGACACCCATCCACTGCACAATACGTGGTTTCGGCATTTCGACGAGTAAGCGCGGGAAACGTGCGCGGTGCAAACGCTCAGGCGGGCGTGCGGCAGCCCAATGTCGGTTGTATCGTGGGCGATACGCAAAACGGTAGGCATATAACGCAGGGCCTTGAGCGAGTGACGGAGGCCTGCTACAACCATAATATAGCTGCAGCATGGCTCTACCACATTCACTTAATAACTCCATATTGAGATGAATTATGCACAAACAAGTATCTCTGTCGACTTTTTTTCGAAAAACCACCAAGAAAGGTCGAAGCTTACAAAAAAAAAGAATAGCTAATTCTAATATTTGTTTCCATTCGAAACTTTTTGTACAAGTCCTTCAGAGGTAGACACAAGAACCTTTTTTGCATACGTACTTGATTTTTTCCAATAAATTCCTTTTTTCCAGCACATACGATGCTATTTGCATCATCTAAATAAAATTGTTTTACACGTTCGCATATAGAAGACCTTACACTGGGGCAGTTTTCTGATTGTAGGCTGATTTCGGAACAGTTATTTCCTAGAACTGGCATATTATTTTTTGCCTCCATTTGTGTCTTCTGCTGTTCGTTGAGTAGCTTTTTTAGTCTTTGAATTTGTTTGCAACGAGCTTTATCCCTTTTATTGTAAGCTGCGATGATATTGAGCAATTTTTCCTTTTTCTTAATTCTACGTAGCGAACTTTTCTTATAGCAGCTGCAGCATCAGGCTTATTCAGTTGCAACGGATCTCCTCCAAGATCATGCGTCGAAGTGCTTTCACCTTGAATACTGCAAACAGCAATGCCTTCAAAATTTGGCGGCTTTGCTTGTTTTTTGTTTTGTCGGTACCTATAAAAATGTCATGTTAATTATTCAAATAAATTATGAATCTTGACAATCGATATATTAAGAATGATTTACTCGTAACGTAGGAACTAGAAAGATGTCATTGAAAATATAGTTGTAAGTATAAAATCAAACTGAACCTTTTACAATTTTCTTTCCACTTATTTCTTTGCTCTCTTTGACTGCGCGGCGCTTTTTCCGAAATACTTGTAATTTTTTTTTTGCTTCCTTATCTTTTAAATACTTTATTCTTCTTTTTTCTTTTGCAAGAGCTAGTAAATCAGGGTCATTTTTAATTTCTGCATACTGCCTACGTTTGCAGAGTCTTTGTTGAGCTAGTCTTTCTTCTTTAGTTTTCTTTCCGGAGGCATTTTAGAATATTTAGATTACAAACAATAGCACTAGCACAGTTATTTGTAGTTTTATTTCTTAACTAATAAAGTAACTGATAAGTACCTTACTTACTTATCTTCACGCACAATCCCTGACGGGGTAGCCAGAGAGAACAGATCGCCAAGTGTCACGATCCTTACAAACCTCTTTCGCTTCTTTCAGATTCATTATCTTCTTCATGCATGCACGTCTAGGTATCCGAGTACTCTTGACCCTACCCTCTTCGAGCAATTTGCTCACATGGTCTTCGAAAGTTAGTCTCGGTCTACCTCGACACCTTTTAATATTAACTTTCGCGCTATATATTTTCTTCACCATTCGGTCTTCACTCATTCGCTCAACGTGCCCAAACCACCGAAGCACGCCCATATCAATTTTTGTGATAAGGTCATCTTTCAAACCTGCCATATTGCGAATCTCTTCGTTTCGCTTTCGGTCGGCCAAGGTAACGCCGCACATTTTACGAAGAGATCGCATCTCCACTGCATTCAACTTACTTTTATGCTTCTTCTGGCATGCCCAGGTTTCGCTGCCATATAACAAAGTCGGTACCAACACTGCGTTATGTATTGCAAGGCATGCACTCTTCGCTACGCCTTGCCTTTTGACTAACGCGGTCAGGGCACCATTGACTTTGTTCCCGGCAGCGACACGCCTGTCCACATCTAAATCACATCTTCCATCCCGGCTAAAAGCACTCCCCAAGTAACAATATAATTTGGTTATTACGGACTATTTTGTTTGAGAGGATTTGAGCTGAGCAGGAACTTCATTGTAAGTATCGGTCATAATTTGGACAAAAGTGTTTTAAGATTATTCATCTTCTTATATATAATTTTTTATAATATTTTTTCATAGCGTACGTTTAATGGTAAGACTCTTTCTTCGTTGTCGTCAGAGCCACTCATTATTGGCACAAACTCTAAACATTCATATAAATTAAATCCTTATAATATTTAGAATTTGAGGATACAAATTTGATCGTTTTTCGATGGGAACTCTTTCCAATTCAAACGCTACAAGCCTCGCAAAATTTTGATTTCGCTGATCCAATGGACGCTGATCGTGAAGGTCCATCTCCGCCATTTTTGCTGACAGTGTTGTTGCCAATAATGATAAATTCAGAAAAACCATGTCGAAACATGTTAAAAAACGTATACACAGTTACTCAAAAGCTAACTTGATTATCTTATGAAGATTATAGAATCAATCCTGACTTCAAAGTTAAGGTTAAAAAAACAAATGACGATTGAAATGACACAATTAGGAGAATTATATTCAAAGCTCACCAGTTCGAAATCCAACACGTGTGTCCTGTGCCAGTATCAACTCAAAACAACGAAACAAATAGTTTCGAGTCATGGTATTTTAGTAAACAATATACGGAGCGACAATGACGCAAATTTTGAGAACATTTTTTGATATAATTTTTTATTGATATCCAGCCATATTTTTAAAATATTTTATTGTGATAAAGCTGAATTATATCAATGTCAAGCTGGAGCTAATAAAATAATTTAATATGAATTCAATATTTTTTTTTATGTGACAAAGTTGCTTTGATTCCGTCGAAATTTGGGCGGTGCTGCAGTCCCTTCAGCGGTGCCAAGTTGACTGTCGGTATATCGAAGTGTTGAAGTGCTTGTACAGTAGGGCTACGATGGCTATCCGAGTACAGAACCAGAGTACGAAACCTATCCAATTGCAGAGAGGTGTAAGACAGGGTGACGTCATATCCCCGAAACTCTTCACCGCTGCATTGGAAGACGTTTTCAAGCTTCTGGACTGGAAAGGATACGGTATCAACATCAATGGCGAGTACATCACTCACCTTCGATTTGCCGACGATATAGTCCTTATGGCAGAATCGCTGGAGGACCTAAGCACTATGCTCAATGACCTCGATAGTGTTTTCCAACGGATAGGTCTTAAGATGAACATGGACAAAACAAAGATCATGTTCAATGTCCATGTCACACCTATGCCGGTAGTTGTTGGGAGCACTAAGCTCGAAGTTGTTGACGAGTATGTTTACCTGGGACAAATAGTCCGACTAGGTAAGTCCAACTTCGACCGAGAGGTCAATCGACGGATTCAACTCGGCTGGGCAGCGTTCGGGAAGCTACGACACATCTTGTCGTCAGACATACCTCAAAACCTGAAAACGAAATTGTACAACCAGTGCGTGTTGCCAGTGATGACTTATGGAACTGAGACGTGGTCCTTCACTGCTGGCCGTATGAGGAAGCTCAAGGTTGCTCAGCGAGCTATGGAGAGGGCTATGCTCGGAGTTTCTCTGCGTGATAAACTTAGGAATGAGGATATCCGCAGTAGAACCAGAGTAACCGACATAGCTCAACGGATTAGTAAGCTGAAGTGGCAGTGGACCGGCCATATAGCTCGAAAAACCGACAACCGATGGGGAAGAAAGGTTCTCGAGTGGCAGCCTCGTACCGGTAGGCGAAGTGTAGGGCGTCCCCCCACGAGATGGAGTGACGACCTGGTAAGACATGCAGGAAATCGATGGATGCAGGTGGCTCAGGACCATGCTTTGTGGCATACTTTGGGGGAGGCCTATGTTCAGCGGTGGACTTGTGAAGGGCTGTGTTGATGTGGTGGTGGTGGTGACAAAGTTGCTAAGAACTACGTAAAGCGACATGCAAAATAGTGAAAAGAAGGTTGGCCAAATCGTACCAGTCGATGAAACGATGGCGTCACTATATGCCATATTTATGAAAAATATCCTTATTTTTTATGGTCTTAAAAACACAAAAAATACATCTCTAAGCAGCCACATAAAAACTTATCCTTTTATTTTTGTTTCTTGTAGCTGTTCCGAAATTATTTAAAATAATGGTTTCTGAACGCACCCAATGATGACGCATTTCACGTATGAAAGGACTTTGTATTCAAAGACTAATTATTCACGTTTTTCTGAACAGTTGTTAATTGTAATTAAATTCAATTTGTATGTAGGCATCAAATCAACTACTATACTAATTTATTATGTACTAGATTCATATCAAAAAAATGATTATGTAGCTTCATAGCTAAGCGTTTTGTTCAATTACGTACAACGGAACATCATTTGTCATCGTCAACCACTCAAAAGTATTGTTGACGTTATTATAAAAAAATTGTGGCTATTTAGATATGATTTTCAAACGGGATGGTGTTTACAACATAAAAGCAAACCAATCTAGCAATGTTTTTGTTTTGGGACATGAAAAATAAAAGTCAAGTCCAGCTCCTATAGAAATTTGGCCATTGTTATTTTGATAGTTTTTTCTTGAAATCTTTTTGTTTGTTACTTCTACTTGAACGTGACTAAGATTGCCTTTTAAATAATCATTTAAGTATATAAAACAAAATTCTTTAAAAAAATACTAAGCCATTGATTAGTATTATCGTGAGACACAAATTTCTATTCTCTGAAGTATTCACCCAGCAGCAATGCGCGCCCGGTAAATTTCCCGCCAAAACCACCGCATCATACTAGTCTGTGGTCTATATATTTCTTATATATGAAATGAAAGGTAATTTAATTTAGAATACAATTTTATTACATTATTCAAAATGACCTCCCCTATTTTGAATACATGCCCTTAATCGACGCGGTCAATCATAAATCGCAGCACGCACCACACTCATATCTATTACTGCCGTTGATTTAGCCAAAGATGCTCGGAGAGACTCTAAATTCTGATGAGGTTTGGCGCAGACTTTATCCTCCTAACGTTGCCATATCTTATAATCCAGTGGTCTTAAATCTGGGCTAGAAGAAGGCCAGTTTTCATGTCCGATAAAGTCAATTCCATGGGCGGTCAACCAGTTTTGCGTGCTTCGTGCCCTATGAGCTGGTGCAGAGTCCTTTTGGAATATCCAATGTCTATTTTTGAACATTGTTTGAGAAAGGGGTTCTATTATATTTGTTAGGACGGTATTTTGGTACATCTCGGCACTGGTTTTTACAACTTTTTCACAGAAAAACACCTCAGTTAAGCCTGAATATGCGACTCTAAGCTAAACCATGAGTAACGAAGGATAATGTGCTCGTTGAACACTCGGAATACGCGTGCGGGCTTGTTCACTGCTGTGGGCATACACCTTATTATTTTGTTTATTATAACTTTCTTCGATGTTAAATATTTTTTCACCGGAAAACAAAATTTCGCGTTATTTTTTGCCCGCATACCGCCGTAACAAAGCGCAAGATCTATCCAACCTAATATTTTTCCAACGTTCGTTCAAAAAATATACGGTCTTCTTACGATAAGCTCGTAATAGGTCTTTAATTAGGTCTTCCTGATAACTCTTTTGACTGTGTTTCTGCTAAGGCCCATCTGAAGAGCTTAGATTTTTGTTTACGAACAGAATTTCGTTGGATTCTCGCCTTCACTGTTTTGATGATCGCGGGTGTCCTAAATGTACGAGTTCAGCCGGTCCTCTTACGATCGTCGAAGCTTGAATCTTCAGTGAATCGCTTGATAGTGCGATAAACAAGTCGTAGGCTTAGTTTCAATTTTCGTAGAATATTGAAAATCTCTTTTGTCGCGTAACCACAGCGGTGCAAGGCGATAACCGCTACTCTATCTTCTTTCTTCGACCACTCCATATTTGAAAATGAATAAAAATTAATTTCTTTTTTAGTATTCATATTTTTTAAATAATAAGATTTTTACAGAACTAACAACCCGACTAAATATATAGAATATTACTGTTCCTATCATCGATATAAGTTTTTCTTATATCTATGGTTCCTTTTTTTTATAGAATAGGGTGACAAACGAGCACACAGTCCACCTGGTGGTAAGTGGTTGCTGTGGCCCATAGACATCTACATTTATCCTCGTTTGCGAATCAAAATGCAGATGCGTTCTCACCCGTAAGGACTAAGATAGAATGCCTCCTTTCCAGTAAAAAGGGTCTCCGGTTCTCTACACTCACTTTACGAAACACAGCAGCAAGAAGCTGCTATTTGACGCTGGTATTCTGTGAGAGCGTGGTACTCCCCCGGTTGATCCCACCCATTCGTGCTACAACTATACTACTAATATAGCAGCAGCATGGCTCTACCACGTACAAACATAAACGTACACGTTCCTATACATAAAGTCTTGACAGGACATTGACATTTGAGGTTTGACGTTTTGAACAGCCTCAGATTTCACCGAATATACCGGTTAATGTAAAAAGCGATTATTCACACGTCATTAAAAAAATACATACATGCATATGCATAAAGAGAAGATACATTTATTCATAAATTGCGTCAATATACTTGTCTCGCTTTTTCTACTTTAATTTCCAAATAAGGCAAAAAGACATCACAGATAAGACAGGTACACTATGTCACAGAGTACCTCATATAATCTATATTATATCTATGGTGGAGGCAGTCTCCACTCTCCAGTATTATATATTATATAGTCTATGGGAGTGGAGGGGAGGTAGGCAGTAGGGATGATCGATGTGTCAGAAACACCGATGTTGGCATCGATAGCTTAACATCGATGTTGACTATTATCGATGTTTTTGTATATGTGTAGATACTTACATATTGCTTAAAAATTATATGGGTATACACAGCAAGGGAAAAAGTAACAATTAACTTGAATATCAATTTACCTAGAATAGTTATTATGCGACAACCGACAACGACCCTACAAAATAAAGCGAAAGCAGTGTCCACTGTGACATTACAGGTGATACTTGACAATTAATTTTGACACACCATAATGATTATTTTTTTAGGTTAGCGATGCGTTCAGGAATTCTGAATTATTAAAAATTTTAAATCTTCAGAGGAGATGCAAGATTTTGTTAATATTGATTTCGCAGGTTTGCATTGATCGCGAGTTCCCAATAATCGATTATGGGTTCATTGACACCGATGTTTCGATGTTTG